TGGGACAACATGGACTATGTGTGGGAGGAAGAGGAGGAGGAGGAAGATCTGGACTATTACTTGGGAGATGTGGAGGACCTGAGGGGGGAAGATGAGGACGAGGAGGAGGAAGTGCTGGAGGAAGATGAGGAAGAGGAGCTAGATCCGATCACCCAACTGCCGCCACCTCCAGCCCCTCGGAGGTGCTTCACTTGTCCCCAGTGCCGAAAAAGTTTTCCTCGGCGGAGCTTCCGCCCCAACCTGCAGTTGGCCAACATGGTCCAGGTGATTCGTCAGATGCATCCAACCCCTGGTCGAGGGAGTCGTGTGAATGAACAAGGCATCTGTCCGAGACACCAAGAAGCCCTGAAATTGTTCTGTGAGGTGGATGAAGAAGCCATCTGTGTGGTGTGCCGAGAATCCAGGAGCCACAAACAGCATAGTGTGGTGCCATTGGAAGAGGTGGTGCAGGAGTACAAGGTGAGTGAACTAAGCAAGGCAAGAGTTTAGTAAGGGTAGGGAGGAAATAGAGGACATCGGGCAAAGGGAATGTGGGTTCTCTTACAGGACCTCATGTCCTGTAGAAATGATTCTCCCTGTCCAAGCACTGACTTCCAAGGTCGATAAATTACAAGGATCCTGAGACTTCCTCTGTGGCTTAAGGATAGGAGTGCAAGTGACAGAGAGTGCATTCATCCTTCTGGATGGATCTTAAGTCTTATCCATGACAGAGTCACTTCCAGATGGAAAGAAATGGGACCAAAAAGAACAAGGGAGTCTGAAACAGGAGCATAGAAATAACTAGTGTCAGACCCAAATACTCTGCACTTGTTTCCTAACGGGTTCCACACCCATCCTATGATACAGATTTGCTGGTTGGCTCAGCACCCAGTCTCATGTATTAACCAGAAAGGAGGGTTTTAGGGTAAAAATCTTGTGTCTTTAAACTTTTTTTTTGTTTTTGTTATTTTTTTGAGACAGGATTTCTCTGTGTAGCTTTGGAGCCTATCCTGGCACTCACTCAGTAGTAGACCAGGCTGGCCTTGAACTCACAGGAATCTGCCTGCCTGTGCCTCTGGAGTGCTGGGATTAAAGGTGTGCCTACCCGGCTTCACTTTGAACTTTAATTATTACAGGAGTTAATATTTATAGGGCACTTCACATATAGTCAGTACTGTGCAGGTCACTTTTTGTGGATTATCATTCATAATTCAAAGTCACCATGTGAGTTTGATGTTTGCCATTCTCATTTTATTGATTGGGAAACAGGGTTAAATTCTGAACATGGATGTTTATGTATATACAGCTTTAATAAGTGATAGACTTGGATATGAACATCTTCCTCTTGGGGCTCCTAGGTAACACTACTTGGATATTTTAGTTTGACTTTTTTTTTTTTCTCGAGACAGGGTTTCTCTGTGTAGCTTTGGAGCCTCTCCTGGAACTCACTCAGTAGACCAGGCTGGCCTTGAACTCACAGAGATCTGCCTGCCTCTGCCTCTGCTTCCCAAGTGCTGGGATTAAAGGCATCCGCCACCAACGCCTGGCCTAGTTTGACTTTTCTGATGTGACTGTTCTAGGAATCTAATTCTTGTTTGGTTAACTGGCTTGTTCTTTATTTCTCTAATTCTTTGGACATATGTAAAGGACATGTGTCTGTGAAGCAGCCAGCACAGATAGAACTATCTTCAGATTTGAAGCCATAGAATCAGGAGGAGAGGGTAGCCTCCTCTGTATGGCTGCCCAGAGCTTTGTTTGTGACTAATGTTTCTATGCCTCCTCCTAATTCGGTCAGTAACTTCATTTAGGTGATCATCACCTCCTCAACTTTAGAGTCTAAGGCTTCACAGCTGATTGTCAGTTATTTGAGGAGATGTCAAAAGTACAGTGGGCCTTACTGCAGAAGTTCTGAATTAGAGTATCTATAGAATAGTCATCCTAAAATGGGCATGATAGTGCAAGCTTTTTATCCCAACACTTGGGGAAATAGAGGCAGGAAGAACAGTTCAAGGTCATCCTTGATGTAGCAAGATAGAGGCTAGCTCAAGATACATGAGACCTGAGGGCAAGAAACCCTTTTTGTTTCTTGTTTGTTTGTTTGTTTGTTTGTTTTTTCCTGGACAGGGTTTCTCTGTGTAATAGACCTGGATATCCTGGAACTCATTTGTAGACCAGGCTGACCTCAAACTGACCTGCCTCTGCCTCCTGAGTGCTGGGATTAAAGACATGAACCACCACTGCCTGCTTATGTTTATATGTATGTTTTGTTTTTAAATTACTTTAGTTCTGGTTTTAGGAGGCAGATTTTCCCATATCCCTTTCTGTCCTGGAACTCTCTGTGTAGACCAGGCTGGCCTTGAAATCTCTGAGCTGCCTTTGCTGGTTGGTGTGAGCCACCACTCCTGGCTTTATTATATTTTTATTTTGTAAGTACATGCAAAGATTACAGGACAATTTTGGGAACTAGTTTCTTCCTCCACGTTTGGGTTGAATGGATTGAACTCATCATCAGGTTCAGCCACGGCCTTTACTGGCTAAACCATCTTGCCAGCTCAGAGAGCTTGTTCAAAAAGAAAGAAAAAGGGTCAGGTGTGGTGGCAACATTTTTAATTCTAGCACTTTGGAGGCTGAAGCTGTCGAATCTCTGTGAGTTTGAGGCCACCCTGATCTACTCAGCAAGTACTGTGTCAGCCATGCTGAATGGTGAGACCCTATCTCAAACCAAACGCCTGTACATTCTATTTGGATCCATCCTTGTAATTTATTTGTCAATTTTGACCAATACTAAAGGGTGAATTAAAGCTTGTAAATTCTGAATTGATGGAGTAGAGATATCTGATTCTACTGTGGAGAAATAGTAATATCAAAAGGCATAGTTTGGTGTATACTATTGAATGGGATGACTGATTTATTATGTTTGTGATACTTCCTACAACCAGTTGTGTAATAATTGCCTTTTGTACTCAGGGTCAGTTATCTTTTTAGTTCATGGGTCATTATCAGGCTGTCACTGGCAGCTTACCGCCATAGTTAGCAAATTTTGGATGTTTACTGACCTTTTGCCATATGTCAGAAACTTTGCTAAGTTTGCTGTCTGTGAGGTAGGTTGGCATTATTCCCATTTAAAACTGAGGGAACTGGAAGCATGGTTTGCCTCAAATTACCTAAATGTAGTTTTGGTTCTCATAGAGCTAAGCTCAAGGTCCATCCTGTATTTTCCCCTAATGAAAAGGAGGGAGCAGGTCATAAGGAGAAGACATAAAAAAGAGGAAAGAGCATAAGGCAGAGTTTATTATACCCATCCTGGTCTCTGCAACACCCTTTAAGGAAAAAGACATAGCTTTAAATCCTTGGAATGGAAAGCCCATGCATCTGATTGCTGTTAGAATTGTAACTAAAAGAAGAAAGGGCTTTTGTTTTTCATGAGATGACAGTTGAATGTGAAACAAAGCAGAGAGAACATAGAAACTAAGTAAAGTGATAATCCCATCACCAGGAATGTATAAGTAGGAGGATCAGAAGTTCAAGGTCATCCTCAGCTGTAAGACAAGTTCCAGACTAACTTGGGCTATATGAGGCCTTGCCTCAGGAAAGAAAAGTGAGGGTGAAGGACCCGGTAATGCCTGGAAAGCACATTTGTAAAATTGTTTATGCTCTGGGACAGTGTTTCTCAACCTTTGGGTCGCATCCCATTTGGGGGAATGAACCATCCTTTCACAGGGGTCGAATATCAGATGTTCTGCATATCAGATACTTAAGTGATTCACAACAGTAGCAAAATTGCATTTATAAAGTAACAACCGTTAGGGACCACCACAACTTGAGGCACTGTATAGAAGGGTCTTGCCAGGCAGTGGTGGAGCACGCCTTTAATCCCAGCTCTTGGGAGGCAGAGGCAGGTGGATCTCTGTGAGTTTGAGACCAGCCTGGTCTACAAGAGCTAATTCCAGACAGCCTCCAAAGCTTTATGGCTACAGAACTCTGCACTCAATAGCTGCCATATACATGGCTTGAGCTCCAGCTCAGATCCAGCCTCCTAAGGTCCTCACAAGGCTTCTGCATCATGAGTGCAGGGGAGAGTTGGAGGCATGTATGGTCATCTGAGAGAAGAGTTGTGGGAAGGGAGGACTTACTTGACATTTAACAATGTTAATAATCAGGCATTAAGTTTCCATTGTAGAGAGGACTGGAGAGGGAGGCTCTGCTTCTCTTTATCCCCCGACTAATCTCCCTTTCCTGCTCCCTCAGGCCAAGCTCCAAGGTCACGTGGAGCCACTTAGGAAGCACCTAGAGGCTGTGCAGAAGATGAAGGCCAAGGAGGAGAGGCGGGTGACAGAGCTGAAGGTGGGTGATGTCTGTGAATGGCTGACTGATTCTGTTGTCAGGGTAAGGAAGATGAGATGAGACTGAGAACTATCGCATATGATGACTGTCCCTGAAAAAAGAGTAGCCAGGGCCTGGGAAGTGGGTAGACACTTTTCTAGGAATTTGAAGTGATGCAGGTTTTGAAGTTCGGAAGCATGCTCCTTTCTAGTTTGTAAAATGTAGTGAAAACTGAGGTCTGGCTCGTTAAAGCTGGTTGTCTGGTGTAAAGCTACAGAGTAGACCCAGTCCCTGACCCCGGATAACACAGAAAGCAAGTGAGCAAATATATATAGCAGCTGCTAGAAGAGTACCAAGTCCCAGGATACACACAGATGGTAGGCAGAACATTAAAGGGTGTGGTCTGAAAGGCTTGGTGTGCCGTGGAAGGGCAGTCATGTTAGGAAAAGGAAGAATTAGTGGTCATTAGCATCGCACATACCTCCTGTCCTCTTTCCCAGTGTTCTTAGCCCTTTGACTTTTGTTCTTTTCCTGGAGATAGTTTCTCTGTGGGGCTGTCCTGGAACTTACTCTGTAGACTAGGCTATCCTTGAACTCAGAGATCCACCTGCCTCTGTCTCTTGAGTGTTGGGATTAAAGGGACACCACTATGTATGGCTTTACAAACTTTTTTTTTTAATAAAGTCTTTATTCCTGTGGGTCTTGGGAAGCAGAGGCAGGCAGATCTTTGAGAATTTGAGGCCAGCCTAGTCTGCATAGTGTGTCCCTGTCTCCCCCCCCTCCAAAAATAGAGACTTTTAGGGGGCTTTAGGGCTGAGCTAAGGTTTCTCTGTGTAGCCCCAGCTGTCCTAGAACTTGTTCTATGGACAAGGCTGGCCTCAAACTCAGAGATCTGCCTGCTTCTGCCTCTCAAATGCTGGGATTAAAGGCATGGACCACCACTTCTGGCCAGTCTTTAAAGTATACAGCATTGTAGTAGTTACTTTTCAGTTGCTGTGAAGAGACATGATGATAAAGGCAACTTATAAAATGTTTATTGATCCTCAATATTCAGGGTGGGGAGAGGCTAACAGGAAATTGTATGGGCTTTTGAAATCTCAAAGCGCCCACCCTGGGTGACACCTTCAACAAGGCCCCAGCTCCTAAAGTCCACTCCCAGTGACACACTTCCTTCAACTAGACCACAGTTTCTAATTCTCCCAAACAGTTCTACCAACTGAGGACCAAGTATAAGCCAAGTATTCAAATATATGAGCTTATGGAGAGTCATTCTCATTTAAAACACCACAAGTATAGCTATTTGGTAGTATTTACATTGTAGTGGGTATTATGAGACATTTAAAGTATATGGGAGGATATGCAGTTATTATGCCTTTTTTTTTTTTTTATTATGCCATTTTATATAAGGGATTTCCACATCTGCTGATTTGGGTCTCCTGAAACAAACCCACTTGAATATCTAGAAACAACTGTACCTACAAAGCATTTTACCTTTTGGCCCCTAAGTGTATAATACTTGCTGTTTGCACCTTTACTGAAGAGTATGTAAAGGGTGTGAATGACTTCTCCTATGGCAGCTGAGAATACTGAGAGTCAGGATTTAATTTTGTAGCATCTTCCTTTCATGTTTTGAGACAGGATATTATATTGTAGCCCAAACTGGCCTCAAATGTGGAATAATTCATTGTTTCAGCCTCAAGAATATTGGTATTATAGGCATGAGCCCTCATGTCCAGCTTTACTTCAAGTCTTGCTTCCTAAATTCTCTTATTTGTTAATTCCAAAAAATTCTTACCAAATACCTATACACTATGGTTGGCACTATGCCGGCCTTTGGTGGCACTGTGGCAAACAAAGGCATGCATAGGTCCTATTTGTGAGAGGTATGGCATAGAAGAGGATAATAAAAAGAAGATAATATTAAGCTAGGCATGCAGCTTATATCTTTTTTTTTTAAGATTTGTTTATTTATTATGTATACAGTGTTCTGTCTGCACATGTGCCTGCACACCAGAAGAGGGCATCAGATCTCATTACAGATGGTTGTGAGCCACCATGTGGTTGCTGGGAATTGAACTTAGGACCTCTGGAAGAGCAGCCAGTGCTCTTAACCACTGAGCCGTCTCTCCAGCCCACAGCTTATATCTTTAAACTAGCAAACTGGAGGTTGATGCCAGAGAATTGTGATTTTTGAGGCCAGCCTGGACTTTTGTCTCAAAAACAAAACAACTTTGCTGGCAAGAGGACTCAGTAAAGGAGTCTGCCATCAAGTTTGATAATGATAACTTGAATTTGATCCCAGTTACTTACGTGGTGGAAGGAGAAAACCAACTCCTGCAAGTTGTCTTCCGACCTCCATACATGTTCCCCCAGCCCATCTCCATTATAACATAGCATCTCCAATACAGTGATATGGAGTTGGTGCTGCACAGATCTGGAGAGAAGCTTCTTTAGAACATGTTAGCTTCCATTTAAAGAGTAAATTAGTTAGGGCAGAGAGAGATAGGTATTCCAGAAAGGAATTGGTGACTTTGGACCAGTGTGCCAGGTTTGCGCTATTGCACTGGCACATAAGACTGAGATGGGGAAGGAAACTTCTCTTTCCATTCTCAGAACTTCTTTGCCTGAAATTGAGAGTTAGCAGATAGAAAACTGCAACTATACCTTTCTGTGTATTCAGGTGGTGGCCTCCATTCCCTTTGCAGCTCTCCATTTGTTAATTTTTAAAATTTTACTGTATGGGTGCTTTCCGTGTGTGTGTGTGTGTGTGTGTGTGTGTGTGTGTGTGTGTGTGTGTGTGTTTGAGGCCAGGGCCCCCCCCCTAGCACAGAAAAAAAAAAAATGCATGATTGGTGATCACAAAGGTCAAAAGAGAGCATCACTTCTCCTGGAACTGGTTACAGATGGTTGTGAGCTGCCACGTGGATGCTGAGAATCAAACTGTGGTCCTCTGGAAGAATAGACAGTACTCGTAATCAGTGAACTATGTCTTCATGCCTGCCTTTGCATCTTTTCAGAGTCAGATGAAGTCAGAACTGGCAGCTGTGGCCTCAGAGTTTGGGCGACTAACACGGTTTCTGGCTGAAGAGCAGGCAGGACTAGAGAG